AAAAAAAAAAAAACAAGGCAGGAATTTCTTTAGAGCTATGGAAACAGCTGGCACTCATGGCATTACTGGAAAATGAATAAGCTCATTTAGCAATGAAGAGGATTGACATCACTTATCAGGTAATTACAAATAATTCACTTGCACTGAAATGACATAACTTCTGAAAAACAAAATCGCTGGGTAGGGACATACACCAAGCACAGCACTGAGCATTTATTTAAATTAATGCTTATTATTTAATACTTAACAATGTGACATAATGCTCAGTGCCTTTATTCTGCATGCATATATTTTTACACAAATAATTAAGGTTAATCATGTAATAAGGTTAGAATAATAATATACACTGTAAGTGTATCACTACAGTATCACACCATACAAGTTGTTTATGCTTGAAAAATATTCTACTGTAGAATCATTTCTATTACAGGATTATACTAATTGACTTTCACCAAAGGCAATATAAAGTACTGCTTTAGCACATTGGGGGATGGGATTTTACTATGTTGGTAAGGCTGGTCTTGAACTCTTGACCTCAGGTGATCCATCCCCCACCCCTTGGCTTCCCAAAGTGCTGGGATTACAGGCATGAGCCACCACATCTGGTCTCTTTATGGAATGTCTTATTTCTTATTCTTCACTTGCAACTTGTTATATATAAAATGATGTTCTTATGTCCTCCCCTCAAGAAAACTTTATTAAGCTTAATGTGGACTAGCTTCAGAGTTAAAAACTCCTATGGGCACAATCTATGGGAGCCCTAGATCTCTGTGGATTTTACCTCCAGAAGGCCGACCAGGATCTCATGGTTAAGAGCTGAGGAAATCCCCTTCCTGTTTGGTCAAGGGGATAGAAAAAATAACTATTGTGAAATACTCCGAGAAGAAAAGTAGCCATTTTGAAATAAGCAAAGAGCATCTCCTCAACAAAGGCCTTTACTACAAGCAAAAATACTTCACCAGTGCCTTAGCCAAGTTGAGGGAATGAAAATGACCTAACTCTAGCCCTCTCTCACCATGCCATCTCATGTAAGGATAGAATTAAAAAGCTGAGAATCACCTGTGAATGTCAGAGCCCAGAGGCGCAGGTCCACTAAACACTGAGATCTCACCAGAGCAGAGCAGAATGCATCTCCTACCTCCCATGATGCATCAACAGGGCTATGACACCGCAGTGTGGATTATAGCTGGAGGAACAGCAAGGCTCAGACTCCACATGAAGTAGTTTCTACGGAGACCCAAAGACAGCAGAGGAGATAAAAGCAAAAACACTAGACGAAATTATATCCTGTGACACCTACAGCTAATGCAAACAGCAAACCCAGCCTGACTCCTAGCCAGATAAACACAAAAGCTCACAGTAAAAGTCAACCTAGCTCAGTTCCTTTTACCGTATATGTTATGTCCAGATTTCAAAGAAAAATAACAAGGGATGCTAAAAGACAATTAAAAAGACAATTTAAAGATTCAAAGGTGTCACTAAAAACAGATTCATATGACAAAAATGTGAGAATTACCAGACCAGGAATTTAAAATAATTATATGTCAAAAGTCTACTGGAAAAGTGAGCAAGATGCAACAATGTATAAGAAATGTAAGCAGAGGAGGGGGCGGAAGGAGCCCGTGGCGGCGGCAACTACAGCGAAATGGCGGAGACCGTGGCTGACACCTGGCGGCTGATCACCAAGCCGCAGAACCTGAATGACGCCTACGGGCCCCCCAGCAACTTCCTCGAGATCGATATGAGCAACCCTCAGACGGTGGGGGTCGGCCAGGGCCGCTTCACCACCTACGAAATCAGGGTCAAGACAAATCTTCCTATTTTCAAGCTGAAAGAATCTGCTGTTAGAAGAAGATACAGTGACCTTGAATGGCTGCGAAGTGAATTAGAAAGAGAGAGCAAGGTTGTAGTTCCCTCGCTCCCTGGGAAAGTGTTTTTGCATCAGCTTCCTTTTAGAGGCGATGATGGAATATTTGATGACAATTTTATTGAGGAAAGAAAACAAGGGCTGGAGCAGTTTATAAACAAGGCTGCTGGTCATCCTCTGGCACAGAATGAACGTTGTCTTCACATGTTTTTACAAGATGAAATAATAGATAAAAGCTATACTCCATCTAAAATAAGACATCCCTGAAATTTGGCAAGAAGGGGCAAAAACGTGACTATTAATGATTGACATGCACCAGCGAAGAAGTTCTAACTTTTACCATGCTGCTCAGAAACTGGTATAACATGCCTTCAGTATACTAACACTCATGCTCGGTTTTGTTTTGGCAGTTGACAAGAAGTTAATTTGCTTTAGTGAAAATCCGTCATTCAAGCCTTTCTATATGAATAGCTCTTTCTTGCTGTTTTAATGTGGGGCACACTATAGCCTCACAAACCCGTTATTCCAATGTCATCTGCAGTGTCCTAACTAAAGTTGCTGGCTTGGTCTTATTTGCACAGTTTTTGTGTCTTCTTTGCTTCTTGCATTTGATTAACCACAATATTTCTCTTTCCCCCTTTTAATGTGTCTGTGTCACTTGACCTAATTTATGTGTAGGAGCACCACACCATTGGTTTCCAATACTGCACACATAAGACACATATATGTGTGCAGAAAGCATCTTCCTTTAGGCTTGTAATACCCTTCACATGGAAGATTAATGAGGGAAATCTTTATAATCTGTATAAAAACAAAATCAAATTTATACACTAAAATCATTTGTCTAAAAATTTAAGTTGTTTTCAAATAAAAATTAAAATGCATTTCTGATACGCACACACAAAAAGAAATGTAAGCAGAAAGTTTGAGATTCTAACAAAGAATCAAAAAGATATGCTATGATTCAAAACATCATAACAGAAATGAAAAAAATTTTTTTCTTTTTGAGATGGAGACTTGCTCTGTCACCCAGGCTGAAGTTCAGTGGCTTGATCTTGGCTCAATGCAACCTCTATCTCCTGGGTTCAAGTGATTCTTCTGCCTCGGCCTCTTGAGTAGCTGGGACTACAGCATGTGCCACCACACTCAGCTAATTTTTGTATTTTTAGTAAAGATGGGGTTTTGCTATGTTGGCCAGGCTGGTCTTGAAGTTCTGACCTCAGGTGATCCACCCACTTTGGCCTCCCAAAGTGCTGGGATTGCCGGTGTAAGCCACCATGCCTGGTCTAAGAATGTTTTTAATAAGTGCACCAGAAAACTGGACAGGGTGGAGAACAGAATCAATAACCTTGAAAGTAAGTCAACAGACCCTTCCCAAATTGAAAAGCAAACAGAAAAACATGGGGAAAAAAAACCCCAGAATATTTAGAAACTCTGTGACAACTGCAAAATGTGTAAATATTCAAGTTTGCAAGCATATAGTTTTTATAATATTCATTTATGATCCCTTTAATGCCCATGGCATTAGTAACGATGACCTCTTTCATTTCCAAAGTTAGTAATTTTTGTCTTCCCTGTCTGTCTCTCTGTTTGTCTGGTTCTGTGTCTTTTTCTCTCTCATTCTCTCTTTTCCTCAGCTTTTTCCTCTTTCTCACCCTCCTCCATCTTATTCTTATGCATTTAGATTAGATAGAATTAAGAATAATGAAGATTGTTATTAACCTTTGCTTATTCTTTCTCTAATACTTTCCATTCTTTATGTAGATCTGAATTTCCTACTTATCATTTTCCTTCTTCCTGAAAATCTTCTTTAAAATTTCTTGCAAGATAGGTCTACTCATGACACATTTCCTCAGTTTTTGTTTCCATGAGAGTCTTTATTTCTCTTTCACTTCTGAAGGATAACTTTACTGGATTCAGCATTATCAGTTTATTGTTTTGTTTTTTCAATACTTAAAATATATTATCTCTCTTCTCGATTGCATGGCTTCTGTTAAGAAATCCAGTGTTAAGTCTCATTTTTGTTCCTCTATAAATAAAATATTTTATTCCTCTGATTTTTAATATTTTCTCTGTCTTTGGTATTCTGCGGTTTGAACATGATTTGCCTATGTCTATGTAACAGTTTTTATTGTTCTGAACTTCCTGGGTTTGGGGGTTGGTTTCTATAATTGTTAGAAAATTCTCAGTCAATATTGCTTAAAATATTTATGTTCTCCTTTTTATCTATTTTGTTTCTAGTATTTCCATTGTGCATGTTATACCTTTTGCAATTGTCTGGTAATTCTCACTTTTGCCATATGGGTCTGTTTTTAGTGCCACTTTGTCTCTTTAGATTGTCTTTTTACTTGTCTTCTATCATTCCTTGTTATTTTTCTTTGAAATCTAGACATAATATATAGGTAAAAGGAACTGAACTAGATTGTATTGTACTGTATTGTATCTTTTTTTTTTTTTTTGAGATGGAGACTTGCTCTGTCACCCAGGCTGGAGTGCAGTGGTGCAATCTCTGCTTACTGCAACTTTCACCTCCTAGGTTCAAGCAATTCTCCTACCTCTGCCTCCTGAGTAACAGGTGCTACAGGCCCACCACCACACCCAGCTAATTTTTGTATTTTTTTAGTAGACATGGGGTTTCACCACATTGACCAGGCTGGTCTTCAACTCCTAACCCAGCCTAAACACTTAAACTAAATAGACACAAACTACCAAAACTGTCTTAGGCTGGTGTGGTGGCTCACACCTATTATCCCAACATATTAGGAGGCCAAGGTGGATGGATCACCTGAGGTCAGGAGTTCGAGACCAGCCTGGTCAACATGGTGAAACCCCATCTCTACTAAAAATAAAAGAATTAGCCAGGTGTGGTGGTACATTCCACTTTTACACCTTTTTTATATGTAATGTCAGCTACTGAGGAGGCTGACGCAGGAGAATCACTTGAACCCAGTGGGTGGAGGGTGCAGTGAAGTAAAATTGGGCCACTGGGTGTCAGAGTAAGACTCTGTCTTATTTTTTTTGGGATGCTATACCAAATGCCATAACCTGGGTGGCTCATATATTCAGCAATTTATTTCTCACAATTCTGGAGTGTGAGAAGTTAAAGATCAATTTTAGACACCAGCAGATTTGGTGTCTGATGAAGACCCATTTTCTAGTTCATAGGAGGCAACATCTCATGGTGTTTTCACATATCAGAAGGGGTGAGGGACCACACTAATCCCATTTACGAGAGCTTCATCCTTATGATCTAAGCACCTTCCAAAAGTCCCTCCAAATACTGTCACTTTGGGGATTAAACTTTAACACATAAATCTGGGGAGACACAAGCATTTAGTCTATAGCATTTAGACTAAATAGACAAAAAGAGAAATAGATAATTTGAACTGGTTTTTATCTACTGTAGAAATGTATAAATAATTAACAACTTTCAAAGACAGCAGCAGGACCAGATCATTACACTGGTGAATTCTATAAAATATTTAAGAAAGAAATGATATCAATTATTTATAATTTCTTCCAGAAAATAGAAGGTAAGGAATATTTCCTGGGTATTATGGGGTCCTAATACCCAAACAGGGTGAAGGCATTAAAAGAATTAAAATATTCAGATCAATATCTCTCATGAACATAGATGCCAAAATCCTCAACAAAATATTAGAAAACTAAATCCAGCAATACATAGTATGAATTCTACATCAACACCACGTGAAATTTTTTCCAGGTATGCAAGACTGTTTCAACATTCAAAATAATAGTTAAGGTAATCCATCACACAAACTGGCTAAAGAAAAAAAAGTGTTTGATTACATTAATAGATTTAGGGGAGGGTGCGTTGCCTCAAGCCTGTAATCTCAGCACTTTGGGAGGCTGAGGTGGGTGGATCACACGTTCAAGAGATCGAGACCATCCTGGTCAACATGGTGAAACCCCGTCTCTACTAAAAATACAAAAAATTAGCTGGGCATGGTGGCGCGTGCCTGTAATCCCAGCTACTCAGGAGGCTGAGGCAGGATAATTGCCTGAACCCAGGAGGCGGAGGTTGCTGTGAGCCGAGATAGCGCCATTGCACTCCAGCCTAGGTAACGAGAATGAAACTCCATCTCAAAAAAAAAAAAAAAAATAGATTTAGGAAATGTATTGTATAGAATTCAATGCCCATTCATGATTACAAACTCTCACCAAACTTGGAATAGAAGGGAAATTCCTCAACTGAGTAAAGAACATTGAAAGAAAGACAGCAAGAAACAAAAAAGAAAGAAGAAAGAAAGGACAAATTAAACAGACTATCATATATGATGTAAAAAACTGGTTATTTTACCCTTAAGATCAGGAGCAAGGCAAGGATGCCCCCTCTTACTGTTCCATTCAACATCATATTGAAATCCCAGCTAATACAATAAGTCAAGAAAAGGAAATAAAAGTTATACAAATTGGATAGAAAGAAATAAAATGCTATTTGCTTATAGATAACTTGATTTTCTTTGCAGAAAATATCAAATAATCAACCAAAAAAACTCCTGGATTATAGCAAGGTTGCATGACATGAGGTTAATATACAAAGTTAATTGCTTTCTTATATACCAGGAATAAACAATTGAAATTAAAATTAAAAACACAATGTCATTTGGATTAACATCAAGAAAATAAAATATTTAGACATAATTTGTCAAAATATGGACAAGGTCTATATGAGGGAAACTACAAACACTGTTGAAAGGAATCAAAAGATCTAACTAAATGAAAAAATGATCCATGTTCATAGATAAGAAGGCTCAATGTTGTTAGGATGTCAATTTTCTCCAACTTAATTTATCAATTCAATGCAATTCTAGTCAAAATGGGCAAGTTATTTTTTGGAAATTGACAAACATCCTAACCTTTATACAGAAAGACAAGAAAACCCAGAATAGTCAGCAATATTGGAGAAGAAAGTTGGAGGACTCGCAAACTGATAAATTGAACAGACTAGAGATCCCAGAAATGAAAGCACACATGCACATACATAGTCAATCATTCTTATACAAAAAGGTAAAGTCAGCTGAATGGAGAAAGGACAGCTTTTTCAAAAATGGTGATAAAACTGCTGTGTGTACAAAAAAATACAGGGTTGAGACACTCCTTGCTCCTCAAAAATTAATTCAAAATAAATCTTAGAGCTGATATTTTCTACCTTGCTCACAGAAAGGAAAGAGAACGGAGAAGCAAACCATAGACTGGGAGAAAATATTTGCAAAACACATCTCTTATAAGGACTTGCATCTAAATTACGTGAATAACTCTTAGAACTCAACAATAAGAACAAAGGCAACCCAATTAATAAGTGGACAAAATCTCTAAAAATAACTTCACTAAAGATGATATACAGATTTCAAAAAACTTAAGAAAATATGCTTAACATCATATGTCATTAAATAATTGCAATGAGATACTACTACACATCTATTAGAATGGCTATTTTTTCCCCAAAATTACAAAGTACCTAAGAGAATGTGAAACAAAAGGAACTCTCATTTTTTGTTTGTGGGAATATAAAATGATACAATCACTCTCGAACATAGTTTCAAACTTTCTTACAAAGCTAAATATAGTTTTAGAATATGATGTACTCTTTGGTATTTATCCAAATGGGCCAAAGGGTTACATCCACCCAAAAGCCTGCACCAAAATATTAATAATAGCATTAGTCATAATCACTCGAAACTGAAAACAACCTACATGGCCTTCAACAGTTTAATGGATAATCACACTGTCTACATGCATACAACAAAATATGATTCAGCAATGAAAAGAAATGAGCTATCAAGCCATGAAAAGACATGGAATAATTTGGAACACATATTGCTAAATAAAAGAGATCAATCTGAAAAGGCTACACATTGTATGATCCC